GATCTCAGGTGCTCCGGAAGGGTAAGCAGATCTTGCTCCACATGTGGCACCCGTCGTGTTGCTTATGTTATTACAAATCCGGTAAATAGTCTAATTTGGTAGGTCACATTCGTGAAAAGGGAAGGGTATTTTAGTTACGACATAAGGAACATATCCGATATCATCTGTGTAACGGTTATTCCATAACGGTCAACCAACTCGTGATGGCGTCCGTAAAATTTACGAAGGGATGATTTCAACTTCACCATTTGGAACTCATTGTTTAATAGCTTCCTTGTAAGCAACAATCCTTTTCAAGGAAATCATGATAGGAAATACAAGCCCGGGAATATCGTATCAATTGGGAGATATATACTCCGTATGCAGGCGCTGCTGGAATGTTGCTACATAGAAATGGAAAGTTCACAATTGGGAAGCTGAAATCATCTATTTTGTCGTAAAGTTTTGTTTTCAACCGACCCTCAATGTCAATTTTTAGATGTAAGTCAAGATATGAGGCCTACTTAACTGTATCTGTTATGTCCTTTATCTCCAGTTCGATGGGATAGATTCGTTCAACATAGTCACCAAATTTTGTATTATTTAGTGAGAGAACATCATCTATATAGCGGAACGTAAAGTTAAAGGATATTGCTTACTTCTTATCTTTCTTCCTAAGAAGTTCCTGTATGAAGTCAGCCTCATAATAATAAAGAAACAAGTCGGCAAGAAGAGGGGCACAATTGGTGCTCATTGGAATTCCGATAGTCTGTTGAAAAACACGTCCTCCAAACGTAACAAATATGTTGTCAATCAAGAAATCAAGCATCTTGATAATTTCAGTTTCAGAGAATTTTTTGTTTGAATCAGAGTGATTCTTTACAAAGTAGGATTTATCCCTCCCCAAGACAAGATACTTGTATCTACGTTCGCCATTCTTTTTATTGAAACAAAGTAATACCAACTCTTTCAATTTGTCTTTTAGTTTGGAATGGGGAATACTTGTGTAAAGTGTAGAAAAGTTTAGAATTACTACTACACCTGAGTTTGGAATGACAGGTTCTAGTAGTTATTTGTCTGGGTTTAGAATTACTGCTAGACATGGGTTTGGAATGAAAGTTTCTAGTAGTTATAAGTCTGGGTTAATGACAGTTTGTCTGGGTTCAGAATTACTATTTGACACGAGTTTGGAATAACAGTTTCTAGACGTTATCAGTCTGGATTTAGATTTAATACTAGACATGATTTTGGAATGAGTGTATCTACACGTTATTAGTCTGGGTTTAAAACTTCTACTAGACATGAGTTTGGAATGACACTTAGTAGTTATTAGTCTGGGTTCAGAATTACTACTAGACATGAGTTTGAAATGACAGTTCAAAGTAGTTATAAGTCTGGGTTTAGAATTACTTCTATAAAAATGAAAAGATATGATATCATTGCCAATGAGACAACTCTCCACCAGAGACCAAATGAAGTTAACAGCCTTAAGTCACCGTACGGTCTTCAACAAAGAGCAAACCCATATCGCATAGTGAACTATAAAAGGCCCCGAAAAGACAAATGTTAAACAATTCAAACGAGAAAACGAACGGCCTGATTTATGTTCAAAGTAATGAACGAAAAACAAATATAATATACAGCAACAAACGACAACCACTTGATTACAGACTTCTGACTTTGGACAGGCACTTAAGCATGTGGCGGGTTTAAACTAGTTTGAAGGCGCCAACCCTCCTCCTTTCCAAGGGGAATGGTGTAACAGTACAACATAAGAACAAACTATAAATATCAGTTGAAACGGGCTTAATTCATCAGATCGATACAAAGCAGAACTACATCTAACAAAATACATAGGCACAGACCGGACGTAGCAGGATACTTATACATCCCCCCAAAAAAGACACTTCTACAGATCTGATACTACACACAGTTTAGAATAACTACCAGTCATGTTTTGGGGTCCCAATTACTACTTGACATAATTTTAATAACTCATTTATTCTTTGGACATAAAAGATGCCAAGGGATATTCCAACTCAACAGTCGAAAACGAACTGGCAATGCTATGGCAAAGACCAAAAAACCAAAAGACAAACAACAGTATACAAAACACAAAATAGTAAACTAAAGACTGAGTACCACGAACCCTACCAAAAACCGGTGATGATCTCAGGTGCTTCCAAAGGGTAAGCAGATCATTTGCCAAGTGTGGCTCCCGTATTGTTGCTCGTGTTAGTACAAACCCAGTGATATGTTTGCAGTGCTAACTTCTACTGGACAAATGTTTCCAGTGCTAATTTCTACTGGACAAATGTTTGCAGTCAGTGCTAATTTTTACTGGGCATTAGTTTGCAGTACTAATTTCGACTGGACATGTGTTTGCAGAGCTAATTTCTACTGAACACCTGTTTGCAGTACTAGTTTCTACTGGACATATGTTTGCAGTGCTAATTTCTACTGGACATATGTTTGCAGTGTTAATTTCTACTAGACATATGTTTGCAGTGCTAAATTTACTGGACATCTGTTTGCTGTGCTAATTTCAATTTTTTTCAGTAATTTACCTATTGTATCTTTTGATAAAATTGAACATGAAAGTCATCCAAATGCATTTATTCAGATGTGGTTTGACATATTTAATGGAGTTCTAAATAAACATGCACCTATTGCTACTAAAAGAGTTAAAAGAGACAGACAACCTAAATGGTTCACAAATGAAAGTGTATATGAGAGAGAAAAACGATTAACTAGAAATGTGGTCCGAGTTCAAGTTTTGGCAAAACAGGACCAAACACATAATTGATGAATCTAAGAGAAAATTTTATTTAAAGATGGTCAAAATTCAAAAGCATCAAAAGATTTGTGGAAATGTATTCACAGTCTTAACCCATACTAACAAGAAACACCATATGTGCTTATAATGAAGATGGTGTAACAACTAAAAATGTCAATGAAATTTGTAATGTTTTGATAAATATTAAAACCTAATAACTGATAGGTATGTGAGCAACAATCATGATTATGCAAAATTAACTCAACTGAACAATTTTACTAATTTAAAACAAGTTAAATTTTCAATTCCGCCAGTCACAATAAATAAATTAATAAATGAAATCATCAAACTTGACCTTAATAAATCCACTGGATCTGATACATAGGACCAAACCTTTTTATATCAAGTTCTCCTTTAACTTAGCTTCCTCTTTAACTCACATTTTTAACAGAACAAGTACTTTCCTCATTCTTCTAAAGAATGCAAGAGTAACCCCTGTTTTTAAAGCTGGGGAAATTTCATGGCAACAAATTATAGATTAATTTCTGTTCTTCTTTAAAAGTTTATGGATTTGATAATGCTGCTGTTTCTTTTTTCAAATCTTACTTGAATGAAAGAACTCAACAAGTACACATTGGTAATCCTCACTCATTCTGAAAAACTTTATACGAAGTATGGTGTCCCCAAGGCTCCATATAAAGGCCCCTTCTGTTTATCTTATACATAAATGACCTTCCTATATGAAAAATTGTTGCACTGACTTATATGCTGATGATTCAACTTTACATCTTTCTGGTAAACTCTGTAGTCAAAGGTACAAGAAGATTTACATTGCATTGTGAAATGGGAAAATGATAACAATATGTTTATAAATAAAAAATAAATAAAAAATATATGATTACTGAAACAAAACTATAATCAATGTAACATTACAGTGAAAGTTGTTTAACTATTAAGAATCAAGTGATACAACCTTCAATATGTGAAAGTCTCTTCAGCATGAAAATTGGCCATTCAATCACTTGGACTGCAGGAAATTATTTTAATTATGATATCTTACTACTAATTGATCATTTCGAAATATTACAAATATTGATTCTTTCAAATACAAATTAATAGATCGTTTATTGAAATCAACCCATTGTAAAAATATAAAATATTAATTATCTTATTAGGTTTATTTTTTTCATAACATTTTATGGAGTTGTATGGAACATTGATCATTATACTTGACTTTTATTAGTATGTCATGTATATGTTTTCATAGACGTTTTTCAACGATATTTTGTTTATGTTTTTTTCTATGATGAGGGCCTCAAGAAAGATTAGGTATATAGATAACTGTGTAACCCTCTTATAATAAAGTATTGTTTTTGTTTTTGTAGTAGTTACGATCAATACTGAACATGAATTTTGAAGGACGATTTCTACTGGATATGAGCTTAGAGTGATTATTACAATTGGACATATGCAGGAGTTTGGAACTACGATCAAACCTGTCAATTAGTTTGGAGTTACAAATACTTTATGATATAAATTTGGAGTAGTGCTTCTTCTAGAAATGTGTTACTTATGAATACAAGTTTTAAGAAACGATTGTTCACTAGATATGATTTTGGAGATTCGATTTGTAGTTCAGATAATTTTGGATTGACAGTTATCGTCAGGTTTTTTTTGGGGTGACATGAGATTGGTTTTTTTTTGTTGAGAGGGGATGTATACTATTGTCTGTCTTTTAGTCGTTTTTCGCTTTGTAAGCCATGGCGTTGTCAGTTTATGATCCACTTGAATATACCTTTGGTATCTTCCGCCTCGCTTTTAGTACTTGCCATTCCTTTTAACTTTTGTAAAATGTGTTTAAATACTCACTCTTAAACATACATATTTGCCTACCTTATGTCAGAAACATACCTATTTTTGCAGTTATTCACTACTTACCCCCTGTAATCAATAATTTGATTAGATCTAAAACTGTTTAGATCCCTGCCAGCGAACAATGCATTTTCTAACTTTAGCTTATCAAAATATTTGTTTATAACCTCCCCTGTCATTCATCAACGCTACTCAAAATATCAATTTTTGGAGTTGAAATTCCGAACAAAAAACCAATATTGATATAATATTAGTATAGGCTTTTTTCTTGTATAGATTCCCATGATTGATGCCTGTAGCTAAAGTCCTATATACTCAAGTCTGATTTATTTTTGAGACTTGATAATCGCCAGATCTTATAAAAGAAACTGACCTTTTGCTCCACTCTGATTGTCCAGCGTCCCAGATTTGTCAAGGTAGATAACTGGAATGTCCCGGCAAATACACCAAACACTGGGCGAACATTCAGAAATTGTTTTAATCTATTATTTTTGGGATCCTGAAATAAACATGTGAATTGATATTACGCTTAATGGTCTTGATTATAAGATACTGAAGGTAAAAAATGTTTGTTTTTTGACTATCCATTGAATGAAGAAACAATTGATTCCCAGTAGTAAATTCAATCAGATTAAAACATATTTCAACGTGTTGTTTTCATTTTAAGAGCACTGGGTCAATTCCTCTGCTGGTGGACTATCAGTCCCCGGGGGTATCATAAGCTCAGTAGTCAGTACTTTGGTACTGATATGATTCATAACAAACCTTTCTTAAATTGTCCATTAATAAATTTTGAAATTATAAAGAAACTAAGGTTTCAACTCCCTCAGGCAAAGTTGATCTTAGATGAATTTCGTTATTTGTTAATTTCATTTTAGTCAGATAGGTCTTCAATTGTTTCGGTCCTTATACATTCTGGTTTTCAAATATTCGGCTTTGAGCGTTCCTAATGAAGGTAAATTCAGAAGGTAAATTCTGACGCATTAACTTTATAACGTGTTATTTTCATTTTTTTTTCATTTTTTTTTCTTTTTCAAATAATTCTAAAATGATTGGTAAAAAATTGACCTGAACTGAGTATGGTCTTTGGATCATGTTTTGAATAAGAATCACAAGTGTTTTATTTATGAAAACGTGTTATGTGAGACCTATAGATCATCAGTGGTTTTTCAAACGAGAGGGTGTTTCTCGACTACAATCTCATCAAGGGCGACAGATGAGATGAGTTGTAGCCGAGAAACATCCTCAAGTTTGAAAGACCATTGATATTCTGTTGATCGCTATTTTGCCTGTGACGCCCGTTGATGTTTACATTGACAACGTCACGAGCGCCCTTAGTTTCGGACAATAATTTTCTATCTCAAGCGAGAAGCGTGATATGAAAAATTATCACAAATAATTATCAAAGGAAAATACAAAAAATGGCGATAATACTTTTATATTGAATGTAAGTAGACGGAACAGTATTCACTGTATATCTCTACTTAGTTCTAACCTAACAATGGAATCCACTTGTCTCGGAGACATCAAATTTATAAAGTGATATTTTAATTGTCTAGCACAGGATTAAAACCACTGCTGGAAGACTCTTAATCAACGAGGGTATCCACTGCTCCGTAGTTAGTACTTCGGTATTAAATTCATCACCTACTTTTATGAGTTAGATTTTTTTTAAGGTCCCAATTCCTTAAGGTAAAATTGACCGTAGCTGAACTTAACTTTTCTTTGTAGGTCCTTTTAAGTCAAAATGTTCAATGGGGTTTTATGTATTTACAGATGCTTAAATTTTATATTTTGGGGTTTGAGTGTTCCTGGAGAAGGCAAATCCAGCAAAAACGATAAGCACGCACGAAATTTATAAATTTCATTACATTTTCTAGCACTCTGTCCATAAAACTACTTTTAGACTATGATGATGATAACGGATGGCTGCTTAGCGTCCAGCGGCAAATTAATATGCATATTCAGGACGAGAACATGTTAATATAGTATAAATATTAATCCTGCTTTGTACTTGACCGACACGCTGAGCAGGATTTTTAACGTACTAGTTCACAATTAACAGTCCGCAAGGAGACATGTCAACTTACCTGGACACATTATTCTGACTCCGAGCCGACCATTCTTTGTGCTTACTCCTTAATGCCTCGTGCTTAGCGGAAAAGCAGCAAATACCAATTGTAAAGTCTTTGGTTTGCCCCGGCCGGGGTTCGAACACAGAACCCACGACCTCCCACTCGATGCAAAAACGCTACCACGAGACCACCGTGGCGGTTTTTATACTATGAGTACACGATGATGTCATATGCTTAACAGTAAGTGCTTCGGTACTGACAACATAATTTATAATATGATTTTCTAAAACTCACCATTAAAAAATTTTGAAATTATTTAAAATATTAGGTTATTCTTATCAGGTCCACATTTGTTATATAGTTTCCCATAATATCATCCTTTACTGTCGTGATCAATTTAAATCCAGAAAAAACACTTCGGTCGCACGAAATTAATAAAATGGTTTTTTTTTTTTTTTTTTCATTTATTCAAAATTTCACTCAAACTTGAACATTACCAGTTATATCGACATAACTAAAAAACTTTTTTTCTTGATAATGTCTGCCTTTTTTGTACGTTGTAAGTAATGTTCTTATCTCTAGCTAGTCGTGTCTATATATCTCCCATTATTAATATTGTTTTTATGCCCCACCTAGTTCCATTATGTGTTTCGGTCTGTGCGTCCGTTTGTCCGTCTGTCCCGCTTCAGGTTAAAGTTTTTGGTCAAGGTAGTTTTTGATGAAGTTGAAGTCCAATCAACTTGAAACTTAGTACACATGTTCCCTATGATATAATTTAAATGCCAAATTAGAGTTTTGACACCAATTTCACGGTCCACTGAACATAGAAAATGATAGTGCGAGTGGGGCATCCGTGTACTATGGACACATTCTGGTTCTTATCTATTTTTTTCGGTTTCAAATAAGCGACTCTTTTTATTACTACTTTCAGCTGTGTTATCATCGGAGTCCTATTTTGCTTATCAAGTTGAATACATCCTATACAAAAAGTTATCTTAACGAAAAATACATGAATGAACTGACCTGTATATAAATTGTCAAAGGATCTCTGAGAACTTTCAATCTTGAATTAGTACCAACCACTCTAAACTGAACTGTTGAAGAATAAATACAGTTGAAGCATTAAACAGAAAGCTTCATATGTTTATATTTCTCTAGCAAAACCAAATAGTTATCATAATTAGAATGATTGTAATATTCTCACTTAGAAGCTGTAACTTTAGAACCGATCTACGTTCCCAAAATTAGTTATGAAAAACATTAGAAGTTGCTTAAGAATGCAAATCAACGTAGCTCTATTGTTACCAATTCTTAAGATATATACATGAAAAAAGGTTCTCCATTCATTTAAATATTTCATTTGTCAATTTAAACATGTTACGATAAACTAGTCTAGCAATCAATGCTTCTCAAAGACAACTAGAAAGATTTCATATATTTGCTGTCAAAATGGATATCAAAATGCAAATTGTTTGTCTATTTCCTTTAAAGCAACTGATTTTTAAAGATGATTCCTAACGTGACATTTAAGTAGAAACAATCTGTCAATTTGTGACCATACTAATTCAATATTTTCCGATACAGGTGTCAATTCTATTTCACTGCGAGATCTGCAACGGATAGTTTGTACCCATTTTATTTTCTATAAGTTGACCAAACTTTCTGTTATTACTGGACTAATTCATGTTTTATATCGAACGAAATTCTGGCATTTATTTTGATTGTTTTGAAATATTCTTTGATCCAAAAGTCCAAGCTATATTATAGTTTTAAAATTCTTATGAACACTTATGACAAAGAAAAAAAAACAATATAATTTTATACCATGCTTTTACTTTATACTTATGAGCTGTCCGTTCCCTTGTTACTTATGACTGTTGTAACTAATTGAAGTATGACGTCATAATTACCTATATCTCCTGGTTTGTAAACGGCTTTGTCAGTCTGGATAAAAATGGATGACGCTTTGCTTGTAACTTGGATTCTTACAGCAGTTTTGTCAAATGTAATATCTCCGATAACGCTCACTCTTATCTTATAATCATATCCTGCGGGGGTCTTTCCTGGTACCTAAAAGAAAAATCACACTGTTACTTAATTCAACATTTTACAAACATATTGAATACAAAGAATATCAAATGTGTGTTTTTTATCAAATTAACTTCCATCATATAAACGCACTTTGCTGTATCTATTATGAGTTTATCATAAGTTTTGTTCAATCATTTAAAGTTATATTAGCCATATTTCTTTAATATCACTGACCAGACGAGTAGCATCGTACCAATTAAGTGAACACTATGGTAAAATATTTCTAGAATCATTTTGATCGGGTACGTTCGAGAAGCTGTTATTGTAACTGAAAAAAAATTATGTCAGTGGTTATTATTCTTTATATGACCTATATATTTATTGTTTTTGGTACACTTGCATATGTTACTAGGTTTTATTTGGCATTAACTCCAAGGAGAGGGGATGGACAGGGGGATGTATACACCGTTTTCGGTCACTTGCGTGTGTTACTAGGCTTTATTTAATCTCCTTTGTATGATTACATTGTTTGGTTCATTAGCATGTGTTACTAGGTTTTATTTCATCATCACCAATGTAAGTCTACATTATTTTGGTAGACTTGAATGTGTTACGAGGTTTTATCTTATCACCGCTGTTTGTCTACATTGTTTTGTTACACTTGTATCTGTGATGAGTTTATTGAATGTGTGACTAGGTTTTACAATTGCACCCTATATTATTTAATATGTTAATGTCATTCTGTTTGTTACCTTCGTTTGTATCTTCTAATCGTCCCTCTTACTCCCGGGTTCCCGACCCCCCCCCCCCCTCCCCCCCCAACCAATTGTATATCCCCAATTCTTGGAGTTAATGCCGTTCTGTTTGTTAACTTTCTATCTTCTAATCGTCCCCCCTTACTCCCGGGTCACGCCCCCCTGTCCATCCCCTCTGCCTGGAGTAAATGCCATTCTGTTCGTTACCTTGGTTTGTATCTTCTTATCGTCCCCCTTACTCACGGGTTCCTGCCCCCCAATACCATCCCCTCTCCTTGGAGTTAATGCCGTTCTGTTTGTTACCTTGGTTTGTATCTTCTAATCGTCCCTCTTATTCCCAGGTTCCCCCACCCCCCTGTCCATCCCCTCTCCTTGTAGTTGATGCCATTCTGTTTGTTACCTTGGTTTGTATCTTCTGATCGTCCCCCTTACTCCCGGGTTCCCACCCCCTGTCCATCCCCTCTCCTTGGAGTTAATGCCATTTTGTTTGTAACCTTGGTTTGTATATTCTAATCGTGCCCCTTACTCCCGGGTTCCCGCCCCCTGTCAATCCCCTCTCCTTTAAGTAAATGCAATTCTTTTTGTTACCTTGGTTTGTATCTACTAATCGTCTATCTTACTCCCGGGTTCCCCCCCCCCCTTTCCTGACCATCCCCTCTATTTGTAGTTAATGCCATTCTGTTTTTACCTTGGTTTGTATTTTCTTATCGTCCCTCTTACTCCGGGTCCCTGCCCATCCCCTCTCCTTGGGGTTCATGCCATTCTTTTTGTTACTTTGGTTTAAATCTTCTAATCGTTCCCTTTACTCCCGGGTTCCCGCACCCCTGTCCATCCCCTCTTCCTGGAGTTCATGCCATTCTGTTTGTTACCTTGGTTTGTATTTTCTAATCGTCCCCCTTACTCACGGGTTCCCGCCCCATGTCAATCCCGTCTCCTTGGAGTTAATGCCATTTTTTTTTTACCTTGGTTTGTATCTTCTAGTCGTCCCTCTTAATCCCGGGTCCCCCCTGTCCATCCCCTCTCCTTTGAGATAATGCCATTCTGTTTGTTACCTTGGTTTGTATCTTCTAATCGTCCCCCTTACTACCGGGTCCCCCCCCTGACCATCCTCTCTCCTTGGAGTTTATGTCATTCTGTTTGTTACCTTGGTTTGTATCTTCTAATCGTCCCCCTTACTCCGGGTTCCCGCCCCCCACCCCTGCCCATCCCCTCTCCTTGGAGTTTATGTCATTCAGTTTGTTACCTTGGTTTGTATCTTTTAATCGTTCCTCTTAATCCCGGGTTCCCTCCCCCCCCCCCCCCTGTCCATCCACTCTCCTTGGAAATAATGCCATTCTGTTTGTTACCTTGGTTTTTATTTTCTTATCTTCCCCCTCACTCCCGGGTTCCCGCCCCCTGTCCATCCCCTCTCCTTGGAGTTTATGTCATTCTGTTTGTTACCTTGGTTTGTATCTTTTAATCGTCCCTCTTAATTCCGGGTTCCCTCCCCCCCCCTGTCCATCCCCTCTCCTTGGAGTCAATGTCATTCTGTTTGTTACCTTGGTTCGTATCTTCGAATCGTCCCCCTAACTCCCGGGTTCCCGCCCCCCCCCCCCTCGACCATCCCCTCTATTTGTATTTAATGCCATTCAGTTTTTTACCTTGGTTTGTATCTTCTAATCGTCCCCCTTACTCCGGGTAACCGCCCCTCCCCCCCCCCCCCCCCCCCCCCCAATTCATCCACTCTCCTTGGAAATAATGCCATTCTGTTTGTTACCTTGGTTTTTATCTTCTTATCTTCCCCCTTACTCCCGGGTTCCCGCCCCCTGTTCATCCCCTCTCCTTGGAGTTTATGTCATTATGTTTGTTACCTTCGTTTGCATCTTCTAATCGTCCCCCTCACTCCCGGGTTCCCGCCCCCCTGTCTATCCCCTCCCCTTGGAGTTTATGTCATTCTGTTTGTTACCTTGGTTTGTATCTTCTAGTCGTCCCTTTTAATCCCGGTTTCACGCCCCCCCCCCCCCCTCCTCCCTGTCTATCCCCTCTCCTTGGAGTTAATGCAATTCTGTTTGTTGCCTAGGTTTGTATCTTCTAATTGTCCCCCTTACTCCCGGATTCCTGCCCTTATCCATCCCCTCTCCTTTGAGTTTATGCCATTCTGTTTGTTACCTTGGTTTGTATCTTCTAATCGTCCCCCTTACTCCCGGATTCCCCCCCTGTCCATCCCCTCTCCTTTGAGTTGATGCCATTCTGTTTGTTACCTTGGTTTGTATCTTCTAATCGTCCGCCTTACTCCCGGGTTCCCGCCCCCTGTCCATCCCCTCTCTTTGCAGTTAATGCCATTCTGTTTGTTACCTTGGTTTGTATCTTCTAATCGTCCTTTTTACTCCTGGTTTCCCCCCCCCCCTCCCCCTGGTCCATCCCCTCTCCATGGAGTTAATGCCATTCTGTTTGTTACCTTGGTTTGTATCTTCTAATCTTCCCCCTTACTCCCGGTTTCCCACCCCCAGTCCATCCCCTCTCCTTGGAATTAATGCCATTCTGTTTGTTACCTTGGTTTGTATCTTCTAATCGTCCCCCTTACTCCCGGGTTCCCGCCCCCTCCCCCTGTCTATCCCCTCTCCTTGGAGTTAATGCCATTCTGTTTGTTACCTTGGTTTGTATCTTCTAATCGATTTAGGAGATTTAAACCTAGGTAAACTACTGTCGCCCTAGTTTAGTTCATCACCTCTGTGTGTCTATATTATTTTGATACACTTGCATTTGTAACTAATTTTATTTCATTACCTCTGTATGTCTACATTGTTTTGGTATACTTGTATGTTTTTGCTTCGCATCACGGTGCGGACCTATTAGTTTCAGTGGACATACACGCCATCTTGAAACAATTACTTATCACATATAGATTCTGATTGGTTGCTTTATGATGCGGCTGAGATACAGCAACAGCTATTGGCTTAAATGAGATAAAGAATTACAGACTTTTCTCGTCTCAGGATAAGACATCAAAAGCCGGAAAATTAACTATATGTATTTCAGTTCCGATCAACTGTCATTAATTCATGTTCGTTTTATTATGCATATATCCACACTGAAATTCAGTATTGAAATATCAATTATTAATACGTGTTTATTTGCTTTGTTAATCTGCAATATGCACGATTTGTTATGCTAAACAATGTTCCTATACAATGTTTACAAAAATGCATTATCTGTATTTTATAACTTCTGCCAATCTAGGCACACCTCCAGAGAGGCAGATCTCCAGAGTCGTGTCTATTTGTAAATGTTTTAATTTTCAACAAGTAAAGTGAACAAAATTTTAAAAGCATGGTTGTATAACGCAAACTTTTAAAGTAAATCCATTTTATATCAATCAATATTTAAAAATACCACGTTTCCAATACTAAATCAACAACCACATGCACACATATTACCTTAAATTAGGATAGAGCGACACAGTCTACAGCTTTTTAAAAAGTTCAAACTTTTACCAATTTTCTCCTACAATTCCTTCAATTCAAGTGTATTATACTTACTCTTATATTAACAACTCCATATCCTCCTTTAAGAAAAAGAAATAATACATTCAATTGCAGAGCGACAAGTACATTAATGTATGAAATATATGAGTGGTAAACTAGAATTATCCTGTACAGTTACAATATTTAAATGTAAAGTATGATTGGTCATCAATGAAAATATCAAAGATTTCCAAGTGATTTTGACATAATGCATGATCACTTTTATACTTTTGAGGTTCATGCGATTCATCCAGTTTTTGTTCGTTGTCTTGATATGTCTCTGTGTTATTTATTTACGTAATTTGAAAATCAGTAAACTGCCATTGCTGTAATATTTTGCTAGAGACCACATGCTGCGCTATATTTGTCGTTTCCTTTTTTTCCTTTTTTTTTTTCTTTTTTCTTTTTTTTTTTTTTTTTTTTTTTTTGTCAGAGTGCTAAGTCATCGGCTCCGATTCTCTTTGTATTCAATTTGAAAAACTTCTGCCATGACTTATATCCAACAGTTCTTTGTGTAAATTATAATTTCGTCATTCTATCATGACGTGTAACCAACAGTTCCTTGTGTTAAAGATAATTTTGAGATTCTGCTTATTAAATTAAAGTCATAACTTATTTAAAATTTTCCTTGCTTGGTCGATTCTATCATTTTGATCATTATATATTTTATGAACAACAATGTTATATATTTTTTAACTCACGACGTAAATTGCGTTGTGCCTGGGCTGTAGCTATTGTTCCGTTTTGTTTGTCTAGTATTGTTACGAAGATTGTTACTTGTCTATCGCCTCTTTTTAAAGCTGATAAACAAATTCTAGCCGATGATCCAGCTCTAACCTGTTTTGGTACAGTTGCAATGTATGTACTGGAACAAAATTACAAGGCAATAATTACAAATTACATTATTGATAACAAATTTCTGTAATTTAGATTTTATGATTTTCTAAATCCTTATTCATTTTTCACACAACTAAATGCAAATTCCATAAATGTTGAGGTCCAAATAATATTATTTCCAACGCCATTCAGTACATGCACTTGATGTGTTTGTGCTTTTATTTTGTCATTTGATGAAAGACTTTCCGTTTTGAATTTTTATTGGAGTTCGGTATTTTTGTTATTTGACATTTTTTGTAAGGTTAATTGGTCTGATATATCAGTTATAATAGTTTTAAGCTGGTACAATGTACTTAATGCTGATCGGCTCAAATAGGATATACGAACAACATTCCGGTTGAAGTAGTGAAATCAATATACCAATATATATTCAAAAATGTTTTGAGTGGAGTGGATTGCATTCATCTCTCATTTCTCTCAGAAATTTAAGATTAAAAATGTAAGAAGAACAGAAACTTTGGTGATGATTGACAGTGGGTAAGAGAATATAATATCCTCGTTGTTTGTAACGTTATTTTATAAATAATAACAAAAATAATTCCAAAATCAATTATTCATACACCCAGTTATAGCAAACGTCATAATAAATGATCATTTTTTTTTACTTCAAGAAAGGTTATGTCGCATATATCCATAGGACTTGATATAAAGAATCCATTATGTGTACCACAGGTTCAGTTTGGTCTGTTTCATATGCTGACCACAAATTAGGCTAGAAATTTTTAATGAGTGTTGGTTGAAAACTTTACAACAAAAGGCACGACTTCAATTTTTAAATTGTAAACCTTCTCTTTTTATGTATCAGCCGTTGCATATGTTATCTCCAAGTTTTTATGATATTTAACAGCTGTGATCTCTATCAGGATGTCCGTGAGAGATGGTTCCTGCGTACAAAGAAGCTATTGAACCAAGGGTTCTAAATAGTAAAGTTAAAGACATCCCTTCAAAAGGTTTACGGATGCCCTCATAGTTCGGTTGGTCGTTATGTTATATCTGTCTTATCTGTATCACAGATCGTGATATGTTTCATTTGTCGTTACCACATTACCATAATGTAATATCTGGATTATCTGTATCCCAGATGACGAGGGATATATTTCATTTGTCGTTACCACATTACCATCAATGTAATATCTGGAATATCTGTATCACAGATGACGAGGGATATGTTTCATTTGTCATTAGTTATCACAAAACCATCATACTTTATCACGTTTATCACATAAATGTAATTCCAACCGATTGTATTTGTATGATAAACAACACGGCTGGTTCCATAAGCGATGCAGAAAATGCATACCCCGCGTTCACTTACGTTTTGTTATAATAATAGTTTCATATTTACTTTTTTATAAATATAAATAAAAAACTAACAGTATGTTTAATATTATGGAAAATTATCAACAAAAATAACGAACTACAAGGTAAATTCAAAAAAGGGGAAGTTCATAAAACCCGACAAACCAACCAACGGAACGAATAGAAAACAACTCTCATTATCCTGACTTGGTATTGGCATTTAATAAAGAAAATGGTGCGTAAAACCTGGTTTTATAACTCACTTAAATACTTCCATTCCCATATACTTGGCCCTATAGTGTCTTATATTGTAAACAAAGGCAACAGAAGTACACCGCTGTTCAATAGTCATAAATCAGTTTTACTGAAACAAATCCGGGTCCCAAACCAACACCGAGGGAAACACATCAACTATAAGAGGAAAACAACGGAACAACAGAAACACTGAACTGATACAAAAACAAACGCCAACATACATAGAAACGCACTATTTGATAACAACTGCCATATTCCTGACTTGGTACAGAACATTTTAAGAAACAATTGTGGTTTGAACCTGGTTTTATGGCTAGCCAAACCTCCCGCTTATATGGCAATGTTAAAATACCGCTAAAATGACAACATTACGTGATAGGAATACAACACAAATAAACACAAGAACACTCAGGACAGGGAAATACATAAATAAATAATATAATAGTACATTACAACGTGTAGACCACAGAATAACAACGGACACCTCCAATGTACACCACAATAAAATTATGAACTGTGCGTCACACGAATGTATCAACGCCAAAAAAAGTGAAATCACAGATAAATTTCTAAAAATAGAATATAAAATTGGGATTAAGTTTGTAATGGTGTTAGTTTATGTATAAAGTATCCTTTATTGGGTACAAGGACACCAAACAGCACAATTCTATCTTATTTTTAAGTTATCGTAAAGTTACAGTTACTGGTCAGGGTATTTCAGAAAAAATGTGTTGTAACTTACTTTTTGGCTAATACGAGTCCAACTAAAGCCAATAGCAGACTTAACACTAGTCTCATGGTTACTCCTTGTGTATCTAGGAACTATAACAGAAAAAATACAGCACATTGTTATTTTTTTTTTATAAATAATAGGTTTATGTGCGCTAAAATTTTAAACAGTTTCGGAAAGTCTTGCCAATGTTACAGTTATCATAAGGACTAATACAGACTTATGACAGCGAACCTTGGCGATTTTTTTTTTTTTTTTTTTTTTTGATTGAAAATAGACAGATAGAAGAGATAATGACAAATTTAACAACGGAAAGTCCTGAACCAGAATATCATTTTGTATCTAATAAAGCTTACCTTTTAAACTTTTGGGGTATATTGTTTAAATGTCCAATAAAGCTTTACTTTTTTTTTCTTTTTTTGTCAAAATGCCGTCTGATGTAGAGGAGAAACAGTTTTATTTAATCAAAGTACTGCGTGGAAAAAATATCTATACATACATTATATTTAAAGACCTTTGACACTGGTTGCATATGTTAAGCTTTAACTTCAATGAAAGTTCTTCTTAATCGTTAGTAAATATATTTTAATAAACAATCTAAAGAATTATCATATTAGCAACATATTGTATTTTATATATCTTTTTACCTAATTTTATATTCAGTTATTATAATGTATTTGGTAACATGTTTTATATATCATATGGAAAAAACGTGTTCGTCCTGGACAAAAATAATCATTTATTAAACGCAAAAAAGTCCCGTAAAATAAGCAATGCCGGAAATACATCATTGTATACGTGACTAAAGTGTATCCTGTAATGCGATTAAGTTGTAACAGTATTTATGGTAAGAATGCATTTCTGTGGTGCATTGCTGTATAACTAATCTCTTTGTGCTTGTATTCACAAGCTATATAACCCTTAGATAACAATGTCATTCAGACATGTTTTTTGTATTATGGTAATAATACAGCTTTATTAAAAAAAGCTATGACTTGATTTAAATAGATTTACCAGAAAACGAATGCATTATGATTCACGAAGAGAATTTTTGTTCACAAACAGTGTATATAAAGTGCAAATCCAGTTCATTTTCGCTGTCATATGCGAGTATTACTATTGTATAATAAAGGATGATGGGGAAAATTGTGTTTGTTTACGTTTTGTAAATACAAAATAATTGATTTGAATGAATTTTTTAACACAAATTCATTAGAATATGACTTTACAATATACAGTAATATAATTATAGTCCTAAAATATATTATTAAAGCAACATAATCTAGAATAAAGTTATTGAAAGCGATTCAATTTGACATTTGGTGCGATGCATTATCACTGTAAGTGCGATATTTCTGATTTTCCTTTTTTTTTTAGGTGCGATGGATTTTCATTGTGGTTTTATGTGATAATTTGACATGCAGAAACTGACAATATTCATTTGACGAATTAAATATTGATGATATTTACAACTTAAAAATCTAAACTTATCGTACATGTTTAACCACCGTACAGTTAATAGCGGACGTTGTGCGTTTTTAAGCGATTAAGAACAAGCTGAGAGAAGCCGATATATGACATCAAAAATATTCTGATATACATAGTTTGCATACAAAAATATATTCATGTTGAATGCATGTTAAGTCATCAATATTAATTAGAGAATTCCAATTTTAACACGAACTGAACTTATTGAATGATAAACGCACGTTTGTTTACAAACCTTTGTCACAACAACTATTTTAAAAATGCCTCAAAAATGCAAACATTAAATAACTTTAAATAACAACTGATATATGTTCAGATTACTTAGCGTATCTTCCTCCAGAATATACCAAACATACCTAATTCATTGTAATTATTTTGATCTTCTAAAAAAATCATCAGTTTATGAAATTGTTTATTCTGTACCGTTCGTTGCAGTACTTTACCCTTCGTTGCTAAAAATATCTAGAAAAAATATGTTGTCTCCTTTGAAATGTCCATCTTATATTTTTTGTAGCGACTTAACTATTTGACATTTCTAACATTTCATATTGAAAATTAAAGCATCTGAATTTTTTAAACTTTAATGTGTGACCAAGTGAAGCCCACTCATCGGGAGCACCTGGTTGCAATCCAGTTTTTGACAAATTTCGCAAAAATAACTCTTAAAATCTAGTACTTTGATCTTGAAGTAAAGGTCACACGAAGGTAATGATGATATGCGACACATAGTCAAAGTTTGCTATTAGTGTGTCAGGGATTCGAAAATATTCGGGAGTAGAAATTCCATGAGTGCAACGTATTTTTACGGCGATTTTTCCTGAAAAAATTGTAGTACTTGAATAAATAAGCTTTTAAAAGTTGTCAAAAAGTATTATTATGTTATATACATATTTTTACCATATTGATCGGCTTTGAGTTGTCAAAATGCAAAATAAACAGAAATGAACAGTACTAAGCAAAAACACTATAAAGACAACGAAACATGACGAAATTCGGAGATTGGTCTTTAAACATGTATAAATGAAATATAACAGCGGGTTTCTCATTCGTTGTGACTATTTTAAATAGACTCGGCGTTTGTTTTTTCTACATTGGCTAGAGGTATAGGGGGAGGGTTGAGATCTCAAAAAACATGTTTAACCCCGCCGCATTTTTGCGCCTGTCCCAAGTCAGGAGCCTCTGGCCTTTGTTAGTCTTGTATCATTTTTAATTTTAGTTTCCTGTGTATAATTTGGAGTTTAGTATACGTCCATTATCACTGAAATAGTATACATATTTGTTTAGGGGCCAGCTGAAGGACGCCTTCGGGTGCGAGAGTTCCTCGCTGCATTGAAGACCCATTGGTGGCCTTCGGCTGTTGTCTGCTCTATGGTCGGGTTGTTGTCTCTTTGACACATTCCCCATTTCCATTCTCAATTTTATTGTGTATAAATTACTTGAAAACATCGCGAAACAAAGATTCTGTGTAACACAAACTTGAATTAACTAACAATGAAAGCATGGTATATTGACTCGGAAACTAAATGTGACCGTGTTTTTAGTGATTTTTGTTGTTGTTTAAATTAATAATGGGTGTTCATGTTTAATAAAAATAATAAACAATGCTGTCAGGAAGCAGTAAACTTTGTTTTCCTAAGCATGTTATACCTACTGTTACGGTCATAAGACTTTGAAGAAAAATATTTGAACGTTCTATCTACCAACTTCACTTCGCGACACAGCAACGTCCAAAATCAACTGTACGATGGAGATACCAGTGATATAGAACCATTAAAACTTGTAACAATAAACTGTTCTCAATATGTCATTGTACATTTAAAATTGCGTATTCTTTTTTTGTCCATGAAATACGCGCTGATGAAGTTGCATCGATACGTGATGTATAGCTCCTGAGATTTAAACATAAACTGAAGTGAAAACGTAACCAGTCACTCAAGCGTGATATGTAGGTCGTTGTGTGAACGCTCTTCGTTATCCAAGATTCATTCATTAATGACGTTTCATTAGAATGTGATGTATAGTACACTAGATATAGAACGAAACCCAAAATTTCAGCATAGTTTTCGATGGCCGTTAATGTGCTTTACTATGCAAGGTATATGTATTCAATGATGAAATGTCAATGGAATGGATAAATTTAACCCTTCATGTATGTCCTGATGAATAATTGAAAAAATAGAATTGAATATTTTTAGCAAAAAATGCTCTTATTTTTACAGAATTCATTTTTGTAATTCGTTAGACTTTCACTCACAAAGTAAGCATTATCAAATCCTTCTGACTGTATTTACTTTGTCAGAGATTCGGCTGAACTAACACTCTATTTGATGAAAATGATAAAGATTCCTACTGTAAAAATGCACTCCATATACAATAGAAATGAATCGCCCCTACAGTGAAAATGAAAGTATTGTATCATTATTCGAGAGTAAACATGAATCACATAACGAAGGCAGCATAGTGGAATTTAACATAATATCAGCAAACTAAATAACAAATAGATATAAGAAGATGTGGTATGAGTGCCAATGAGACAACTCTCCATCCAAGTCAAAATTTATAAAAGTAAACCATTATAGGTCAAAGTACGGTCTTCAACACGGAGTCTTGGCTCACACCAAACAGCAAGCTATAAAGGGCCCCAAAAATTACTAGTGTAAAACCATTAAAACGGGAAAAACAACGGCCTAATCTATATAAAAACGAGAAACGAGAAACACTTATGAACCACATCAACAAACGACAACTACTGAACATCAGATTCCTGATTATTTAAAGTTATACAACATTAATGGTTATGTTAAAGGGTATATTTTTCTAAAAACAAAACTTTACTGCTGCTTTTATATCTCATGCACGCTATGTTCGTGAAATATTCTTAATATTTACTTCACACCTTGATCACTGTATGTGCGATATAAATCCGTCTGCATCTCTTACCTATATCACAAGTTTATTAAAACAATCCATTTGATATATTATTAATTTTTTTATTCCAAAATCATAATTTTTTCGTCTGTTTCTTTATCATTTTACATTAGAAATGTATGGCATATAGAGTGAAAATGATATTTTAGGATCCACACATTTATATTCACTGATAAATGTCTAACTGTATAATTCTTAACAGACGTGATAAAAGTTTTTTAACAGGCGGGAACCCAGTTGAAATTGAACAAAAGAAATGAAACTCTTTATAGTGAAGTGGCGAAATCTATAAAGACGCTTAGTTAAGGAGTTTAATGCACCCAAAGAACACACACCTGGAAATGTTTTTAAATGAAAGAATGCATAATAAACTTATTTCTTAAACATGCCGTATGAAATCGTAGGGTCTAATATCCGTAAAAATTGCCTTTTTTAGCGTTATGCAGTTTATAAAACTAAATCGCTGATTTACTAAAATGATTATTTTTACTACGAATCACCACATACAGGCTATATTTGAACATGCAAATGTAAGAATAAAACATTAATGATAAAAAGCGACAATAATTTTGTTTTCATATGTTTACCAATAAAATTTTGTGAACGTTTATATTTCAGAAGTTGTTGTTAACACCACATCTACCTGTTTCCATTTATGATAAGGCAATAATCATTCGCTTCATTAGGTCTTTCCACTTTTCTGTGGAAAGACCTATTGTATTTGTTCTGATTATTAGGTCTTTCCACTTTTCTGTGAAAGACCTATTGTATTTGTTCTGATTATTAGGTCTTTCCACTTTTCTGTGGAAAGACCTATTGTATTTGTTCTGATTATTATTAAGTCTTTCCACTTTTATGTGGAAAGACCTATTGTATTTGTTCTGATTATTATTTTTTTTTTTCTTCCGCCAAACCCTTTTCTTGCAGTATAAAGTTGTTTCGCAAGATGTCGCTTAGATATTTTGGATATTATATCGAACAGTTATTGTGTTTTTAAAACTCATCTTGTTCAGGCGAAGACTTGTT